TCTTTCCGTCCGTCCGTCGTCAACATGTCGGACATTAACTCAAAAACGCTTTAACCAATTTGCTTTAAACTTTGGTGAATTGTTTATATCTATTGACGTGAGCTCCCTTTCGTTTTTTATAAATTTCAGATTTTTCGTTTCCGAGTTATGGGGTTTTATTCATTAAAAAAGGAGGATTTTCCAGTTTTCGGACAATTACTCAAGAATCCTTTCATCAACTTGCAAGAAATTGTGGTGAACTGTTAACATCTATTGGCATGGGCTCCCTTTCCATTTTTATAAATCTAAGCTTTTACGTTTCCTAGTTACAGGGTTTTATTCATAAAAAAAAGGGGGTATTCCAGTTTTCGGACAAAAACTAAAAATGCTTTCAGCAGTTCTTATGAAACTTTGGTGAATTGTTTGTATCTATTGATGTAAGCTCCCTTTAGAATTTTATAAATTTTACATTTTACATTTCTGAGTTATGGGGTTTTATTCATTAAAAATGGGGGGATTTTCCATTTTTAGACAATAACTCAAAAATGCTGTCAGCAATTCTCATGAAACTTCGGTGAATTGTTTATATTTATTGATGTAAGCTCCCTTTTGATTTTCATAAATTTCTAATATGACATTGAGAATTAATTAAACTTTATTTGTTTATGGTCTGACAACAGATTTACTAAGTATTGCGAAACAGCACAGTGTATTGTACAACAGCAAGAAAGTTGAAGAAATCTTTAATAAATTAAATTCATATAACCAATTTCAAGTTCTTTGACTACATTTATTCAGAAACGTATAATATGTCAAATATTTAATTACAATCCAAATTCAGATCTGTATCAAGCTTGAATATTGTGTCCATTTTTGCCCCAACTGTTCAAGGTTGGACCTCTGCGGGCGTATCCAGCTGCGCTCAGCGCAACAGTTTATTAATATTAGTATACGTGGTAAAACTTTTGCAAATTTATTTTCTCATTAAAGATGAAACATTTGGCCCTTTACATATATTCTGAAATACATTTAAATATATTTTATTTTATTCTCTACATAATAGTTTTTGATTAAATAAACGTGTTAGGATGGCTATATAGGACAATCGCAGTTAGGACTGTCCTAAGATAGCTTCGTTTTACATTCTAAAACACGTCCTAAGATCATCCTAAATAATGTCCTAAATCATATCTTAGGATATATTCCATGAGACTTTCATTGAAATGGCCTCTGAATTTTCTAGTGCAATTCCGAATACCAATATCTACTAGTAGAAATAAGAATTCTAAAATATTTTAATTAGAATCCAGTACAAAACAAAACAGATATCGATTGTACCAAAATTCAAATTCTGCTGGCCAAATCAAGAAATTAAAAAAGAAATATTCAGAGTACTGTCAAATATGACGACGAATTATATACAGTCCACCAAAAGTTAAGCTCCACCTAAATATAACTGGCAATATTTTTTTAACTATTGCGAAACAAATATTTATGTTTGGTGTTATGAATTGCCTATAACATACACTAAGAAAATTCATTACGACAAAAAAAAAATAAACTCCGATAAACTCGCCAAACATTTTTTTATTCAAGGTCATCTGCACTTTTTCGAATACACTGTTTCGATGCCTTTAAATCATCTACCTACTGTCCCACGTACAGGTGAAATTTGACCTTCACCAAATCACTGTGAAATATGGCAAGGGGTAAGTTATATGTGACTGAACCATGACAATCAATTGACATGTCAAATGCTGGTAGGAGCACCAGTTGCATAGGTAACCATTTCAATGTTAAACACACCGTCATTGTCAGATTTTTACAACGCCATGTTGACACAGGAACTGTAAATGATAGATAAAGGTCCGGAAGACCCCGTTTAACTACCGATCGTGATAACAGACTCCTTATTGGTTGTGCTAAAGCCAACCCATTTACTCCTGCCTCACAACTTAGACATCACTAGCGTCCAGGTGGTCATGTTAGTGTTCGAACATTGGTCCGTCGACTTCATAGAGGCTACCTAAGAGCACGTCGTGTTGTCAAGAGAACTGCCGTAACAGCCAGGCACCGTATAATCAGGTTTCAAAGGGCTAATGACCATCGACGATGGAACACGAGAAGCTGGCAAAATGTTCATTGGTCAAATGAGAGTCGGTTTCTGTTACGACCAATAGACTGCATAATACGAGTTTGTAGTGGAAATAAAACTGCTAATGACCAAACAACATTTGCCCAACGACTGCATACGTTGCTGGTGGCGTTACAGTATGGGGGTTTCTTCTCATACTGCTGTAAGGTGGTATATATAAAAAAGAAGATGTGGTATGATTGCCAATGAGACAACTCTCCACAAGAGACCAAATGACACAGAAATTAACAACTATAGGTCACCGTACGGCCTTCAACAATGAGCAAAGCCCATACCACACAGTCAGCTATAAAAGGCCCCGAAATGACAATGTAAAACAATTCAAACGAGAAAACTAACGGCCTAATTTATGTACAAAAAATGAACGAAAAACAAATATGTAACACATAAACAAACGACAATCACTGAATTACAGGCTCCTGATTTGGGACAGGCACAATGCATATTCTGCATGGTAACATGAACGGACAGACATACAGGGATTTGGTGCTTAGAAACATTGTAGTCCCTCATTTTGATAATCCTCCACTTGCTTCAAGACCCTTGTGCATGTACGACAATGCTAGCCCACACAGGGCAAGGATTGTAACCAAGTACAAAGAGTAGAAAGAGCAAGAAGCCATTGACACTATCGTTTGGCCTTCCATGTCTCCAGACATGAACCCTATCGAACATGTCTGGGATGCCATTGGCAGAAATATCAATCGCAGAGATCCACATTTGCAAAATCTTAGCGATTTAAGAAGCGCAATTGTTGCTGAATGGAATAAATGTGATCAACTAAAGTTCAGAATACTTGTACAGATTATGAGACTCCGTGTTATGGAACTGTACCGGAAGAGAGGGTGTTACACATCCTATTGACTCAAATATTGACATTAAATTTGCCGAAGATACCAAAGATTATTTGTGGAGACTTTTAATGATATTGGGTAATCAATTTTTGTAAAAAAATAAAATCACAGTGAACCTTAAATTTCGTTTCTGATTTGAATAATTTTCACTATTTCTATGAACGCAAATTTCAAATGCATAGAACCTACATACGTTAACAAACTCAAGTCTACGGTTTGTTTATGGTATATGTTAGCAAAATTGCTACATAAATATTTTCTACTTTTCGAGGATTAACTGATTTTTTTAAATGAAAAAAATTTCGATGCAATAAAAATAGGTGGTGCTCAACTTTTGGCGGACTGTATATTTAGAAAAGAAAAGGGATAGTATCTGCACAAAAATAAATTCTTCAAATACTGATTACCAAAGAACAGTTGAAGAAAATCCTCCTGTTAACTTAAAGTATTATCTTATGACCTACAATTTAAAACAATTGGCCCACTGTGTCTGTATTACACAAAGCAGGGTTCATAGTGAAATCACAAATTTATCGTGACTTTTAGGACTACCCTAAGTCCATCCAAAGACACTTATGTATAAATATACATATTCTAGCTGTAGTACCATATCTGTAATATGTCTTATCTTTGGAGATTTCCATTCTCTATCTTATTTCTTTAACATGACGACTAAGGCGTGTCCTAAGACCAGCACAATAGACGTCCTTGTCATAAGAAAGGTCTATTTCTCAGATACTCAGATACTATAAGCAATAGGGACGCCATGTTTGGTGTATGAAATGATTGTTAGATGTATATGTCTGACTGGCTGGTTTCGTCTGACCTCGAACTCATTTTCATGGTTCATTGAACAATGTTTAGTTTTTTGTGAATAGGTCAGTTTATCAGTTACTATAAACAATAGGCTATCTATAATTGGTGTATGGAATGATTGTAAGGTGTTCATGTCTGTCTGGCAGGGTTTGTACTACCTTGACCTCATTTTCATGCTTCATTGGTCAATGTTAAGATTAAGTGGTTTGAATCTCGGGTACTATAAGCGTTATGACAACTATATTTGGTTTATGGAATGACTGTACGGTGTAAATATCTGTCTGGCAAAGTTAATTAAACCGTGACTTCATTTTCATGGATCATTGACAGTGTTAATTATATATGATACTTGTAGTAAAACCTTCAATTCGCATACTTTCAAAATGATTTCAACCAAATGTAAACCAGATGAGACATTAGAGCATGTGCACTATTGTTATAGTTTGTTCTTATGTTGTACTGTTACAGCACTGTCCTATGTTAGGAGAGGGCTGACGCCTGTCTCAAGTAAGGAGAAGCCTGTAGTTCTGTAGTTGTAGTTGGTTAGTGTCTCTCATATTTGTAAATCGTAAATTATTTTGTTATAAATTAGGTCGTTAGTTTTCTCACTTGAATCATTTCAAATTTTACAAGATATAAGGTAAGAGCTTTTCTTCATTGTTGAAGGCCGTACGGTTGCTTTTTTCCACTTCATTTTAACTTTGGTGGATCTATGTCTCATTGACAATCAAACCACATCTCTTTCTTCTTACAGGGTATGTTATATGTGTTTAATAATGATATAATGTTATTGGTGAGAAATACAATCATGTACCCTTACTGATTCGATGGCAATTATATCAAAGTAACAAAATAATCAGAAATCAACACAATTCAGAATACTATGAACACAATCCCAGGGCAGCAAAAATAAAAACAGATAATCTCAATATACAGGTATTCAAAAAAGTATCTTTATTCGGTTCAAAGTTAGTTAAGAGTATGATAACTTATATTGTTTTATTAAAATAATAATATATTCAATTTTAGAATTATGTTTATATATCTGATAAGAAATGCCAAGAGTATAATTATCGTTGTAACACTACACAGTTGGATGCTTTACATCTCGAAGATAAATCTTAATCCAGATTATGAACCATATGGGTTACTTACTGTCACACGCGGTGGTTTATTTATTTATTTAGCGTTTGTCTCCCGCCACAGCATAGCACACGGTTCATTTTGTTAACCCTGTACACATCTTAACTTTCACTTGGATTTCTACAGTTTATTTTCTTGAAGGTACGTATAAGCTAAGTATGTGTGGCAAGATTCGCATTCATGAACTTTTAAAAATAATATTAAAAGTGATATTTCAAGATTTAGATAATTAAAATTTGAATAAATAGATATAAATATAAACAAATACATGCATTTTATAATAATAATAATAATAATAATAATAATAATATTATAATAATAATAATAATAATAATAATAATAATAATAATAATAATAATAATAATAATAATAAGAATAAAAACAACATTATGATAATAGTAATAATAATAAAAACAACATTATGATAATGATAATGAAATTATCATAATAATAAACTTTAAAATAATATTAAATATGTGGTTATAATCCTAAAAAAATATGATAATTATCAATATTATTAATATCATATTATAATAAACAATAACAATATTAATCCTGCTAAATATATTTATACAATGTAGTATTGATAATGATGATGACGAACAAATGTTTATTAATAGTATTTTATAGTTAAGATCGGGAATGTTATATTAATTAAATTTACGGGTTTCTTTTCGTTTCTGAATTTTAAGTTTCAGTTCCGTTTACAATCCGCTTGAAATATTTTTTAAATTGTTAACTTTTTCGCATAATAAAACTGGCACCACTGTAAATAGATTCAAATACATATATTCATTCTCATCCTTTTTTTTAGGCAGATAGGGAAGTCATATTTTTTTTTAATTTTTGACTTTTATTTCTTTCACATGTTTTTTTGTTTTTGTTTATTTCTAGTATCAAGTACACTACTTAAAATACATTGAAACGTTTTTTTTTAATGTTATATAATTATATGCGGCTAAACATCAACGATATTATTCTGGAAAACTAGGTTGACGATCATTTGATAATTTAATGTGAAAAGGAGGTGCGGATTGGATATTCGCTTCCATATGCATTAAGAGGCTACATGTGCTATTTTTTATTCGCATTTTGTGTTGCAGAATTTTCATTCCTATCCTGATTTGGGAAATATTATTTAAACTTCTGATATATATTTATTTAATGTATAATTGAATTTTTTTATTGTGTGCAAATTTATGGATGTATATTTTTCTTGGTATTTGTCCATTTGCCACGAATCATTTTTGTTAAATAAGAATAAAAATTTAGCTTCATTTAAAGTAAAACAAAAGTAATACTCACCGATTTCACTATCTCCATGCTCCAATGTTGAAATTCCCTCTTTCGTATGTTGTTTTTTCACAAAAGTGTTATATAAAAAGTTTTCCGACATGCTTTTAAAATATATATCCAGCACTTTTCCACAGATAGTTAGTTTTGCCAGTTGTTCACTAACTGTGTGCAAAATACAATGTCATACAAAATTCAAAAAATAATCAAATTTTTGAATTAAAGTAAATAAACTCAATTTCACAAATCATCTTTTTTTAGTTAAAATCAATAATAGGTCCAAAACGCGTATTCAATATACATATTTTTACGTTTTTGTTGTATATTAGTATTTTTGAGTTACAGTAACTTATATTCCAATATGAATTTCCATCATTAAAATGTCAACGATTGTTGAATATGATTCAAAATTTGAAAAATAGCGCATTCATCTCTATTCTTTCATTGGTTCAAAATTCAAATTCGATATTTTAGGTCATGGAAGGAATAGACGTCTATAATTTTCACGAGGAAGAGGCCATTTCAAAGTCAGAAGATAGAGGTGAGTAAACATTGTTTGCGTTATTATTACATTTTTTTAACGTATTAATGATGTTTTTTATATTGTTGTTTCGTTTAGTTTTTTTTTTTAAATCATTATGGCGAAAGGTCGGTGTCCAATTTGCCCACTGTCCGTGAACCAACGGTTGAAGACTGCGTTTTGTATAAAGATATATATATGTATAAGGCGATAGAAACGTTTTGACATACAGAGTAAACATGCATGCAAATGATTTGATGGTCTTAATAGTTAAAAAAAAGTGCAGTCATTTAACGCTGCATACTTCAAAAATATTCTTCAGATGAATTTCCGTATTACGAATCTTCTAATAATGACTAAAAAGTGAGGTGTGTGTCACTGACTATTTGATGGTAGCCCCCAAAAAACAATTCGGACTTCAAAGGGTTGTTGCAAGGGTATTTTGGGAGCAGTGTTCTCGCCCATCTTTCTACAAGAGGAATAGGATTTTAAACGTCCTTGTTTTTCCTGGGCGTGTGTGCGTATTTACATTCAGCACTGTCGAACTGACTCCACACTTTGGAAAGGGTCTTGCTGTCGATCAGAAGAAGCGCAAACATTTGTCAAAAGCGTAATTAAGAATAGAAAGGGGAAATGTGTCCAAGACACAACAACCCGACCAAAGAGATGAAAACAGCCAAAGGCCACCAGTGGATCTTCAACACAAGAAGAAAATACCGATGGCGGGCTTCAGCTGGCCCATAAACACAAATATGTACTAGTACACTGAAAATGACGTCTCACTAAACTCTGAAACATATAAATGAATTAAAATTAACATACATATTTCTATTATCCAGTCAGCCTTGGGAAACTCGTTCCAGAGTATACGATAACTAATTAAGCTCGAGATCTGCTCACATGTACAAATGTTCACTTTCTGGTTTAAACGATATCTATGCATAAAGACAAAAATGTTTATAACGTGCATATGCAAGAACTTGATGTCCAATGCTTTAAAAAATATATTTTGCCAAAAGACCCCTCCTTGTTTTTGTACTCCATTCAGAGTGGGAAAATATCATGAAATTTGATGAATGTCTGATTCTATAAGATAAAAATATCAAATAAAAAGGAGATATATGATGATATATATTATTCCAAATATATTAAATTCTCCTTTATTGAAGAGTGTTCTTTTGTTTATAAAATGATTCGACTATCAAAGTTTTATTCTTGAAAAATATATTTGTATGGCCAATGTGTATGGAAATTAGCCTAGGTTTATCCATGTAAACGTAATAAATACTATATTTACTATTATATAGATAAGCAAATTTGCACATGTGCATATTAACATGATTGAGATGCATGTGTGCATTTTCATCATGTGGACGGGGATTTACCCAATTAGAAAACCCCGTAATCTTTGTGGTACATAAAACGTAAAAAAGTAGAAATTTGATTGAAACAGCCTAAGATTTATAAAGTCAATGAAGTTAGTGATTTATATAACAATGGTCAATTTCTTATAACTATCAAATATAAATCCATTTTCAATTAAATTGTTGGCCCTCATAGCGTGATGTCAAATACACATACCAAGTCTTATCAAGAATCATAGAAAGTGACTCGTCACCTGCCAGCAGGGGCCTGTTTATCGAAACTGTCCTAAGATCGGTCCTAAGAATTTCTTAGGACAGAAATTAGGATAAAGTTAGGACCGACTTACGACATGTCTCAGCATGCACATCGAAGCTAGGATGTCCTAACCGCTGTCCTAAGTATTGGCGTAAAAGAAAATAACAAATCGAAAATGAAAAAATGAAAATATTGTATCAAATTTAACCAATAACTATAATTTTAAAAAAAGATAAATAATGAGAAAATAATTATTAGTTTTAAATTAAAGGTGATAAATACTTTTTATATTTTAATGGTACATTTTAACTCATAAAACAAAACATAAGACAAAAAAATATAACTACGTTTTATATAAGAATTGAAACAAACGAATTATAAATATTTAAAATAAAATATATAATCGGTAAAATCATTATATGCTTTGAGTGAGCTGAATTCGAAGTGTCACGGTTTCATAGTTAAAAGTTCAAAGGCAAATCTCGTGCATCTTTCATAGAAATACTGAGTACTTCAACTATTTTATTACTGCAAATAACATGCGATGATACGTGTGAATATAAGAGACGAAATTCGAATTCTACCGATGCAAAACTACTTGTACGACTTTGCCCCCAGCAGAGCTATAGAAAAACAGTACATTAACGGGTGTTACACGGACACTTTTTAGATGATTCACGGACACTTTTTAGTTGTTACACGGACACTTTTTATGAATAGAATCACTCGTGCGTGATCAGTGAGTTCATGGGCACTTTAAATTTCAATTAGATTTGAACTTTTTGTTTCACCGATATATTTCTTGTCTTTTTCATTAAAATATTTACGTTGGCATCAATAACTAAATTTTTTTTCAAACAATTCCAGTATATTACAATTCATATCAGTACACTAAGAGATTGACCATTTAACTTCAAAAGGGGAGTTATGTTTTTTCCTAAAAAAATATTCTGATCCCCAATTTTATGAGAAAAAATATATTGTGGTCAATCAGATGACAAAATAATGTTCTGATTCCTGATTTTCCGAATACCGTATATAATAGTGCTAATTTCGAAAAAAAAATATTTGGGTGATAGCGTTGATAAAGTAAATCATTTTCTTCCTCAGAAAAAAAACATACCCCCCCCCCCCTTTTGAAGCTAAATGGTCGGTCCGTTAATGTTTTTTTTTTTTTTTTTTTCAATATATGGACATGAATAGTATTCTGGACAATGCTGAAGTAAAGAAATGCTGGTACCGACGTTTATATTTCAATAAAAAAGACATGAAATATATATAAAAAAATCAATCTAATCAAAAGATAAAACCCCTATCAACTCACCAATGCACGATTGATCCTATAAATAAAAAGTGTCCGTGTAATACATGTTCAAATAGGCAGCAAATCTTGAAGAAAATCATTCAACTTATGTCACCAATTTTGGACGGTAAGCTGCGATTGGATCATATTGTGACACGTGTTTGATCCTGACCAACACTATTAGAGACATATATAAAAACCTATAAGAATAGTTTAAAAAAAATTCCAAAATATATGCCTATATATGGGTGATTTTAACAAGACAAAATCGATTTTTTCGTACCATTTCATTCACTAATGAAATAGGAAATTCATTCTTTTTATATTGTTATTGAATTATAAACTACTTACTTGCGAAGATGCATTTTTAAAAGTCTCAAATGTGTACGACATTCATCTTTTACTTGACATGTAAAGTTTGTTTAAACTGTCTTACTTACATTGACTGGTATATGGACATTTAAGTTTCGAATCTGTTAAATTTTGCTACTTCTTCTACATGCAAAATGTACTACTTCTTTCTTGAAACGTCGTACAAGTCAGATACAAAACAAAGGTAACAAAAAACAGGCCGGAAACAAACTGCCGAATAGTTTTTCTGCACTCGTAGTCAGGTCAAGGACCTTCACCTGACTACTCGTGCAGAAAAACTATCCGGCAACGCTTGTTACCGGCCTGTTTCTTTGTTACCTTTGTATTGTATCTAATACAGACTCTCTTGGACGACGTGGACAAGAGTAACCCTTTGCTTTTTGGTAAATTGCCAAATGTTGCAACAAGTGGTGCTGAAAAGAGGGATAGGAATTTAATATGCATTAAAGGAACTACCATTTGATTTTTAAGGGGGGGGGGGGGGGGGACTAGGATGAATTTTGAAAAAAGGCAGGACAGGAGTATGGAGTAAAAAAAAAGGCAGGATTGAGCAACTTTGCCAAAAAAAAGCAAGATGACAATTTATGTAAAAATAAGTCATGATAAACTAATTAAAAAAAAAGGCAATTATAAGACCGAATAGAGTGAAAAATAAAAAGGAAAGACAAAGATTACAACAATGAAAAAAGAAGAACAACATTTTTCATCCTAGCCCCACCCCGTCATAAAAATCAAATGGTAGTTCCTTAAAGTAAATGCAACCAATATAGGCCATATTTGTTTATAAAATAACAATCCTAAATATATCATAAAGTTAGGACCATCCTAAGACCATCTTAAGACACCTAAATTGGTATCCTAAAGTTAGGACAATTCCTAGGATTTTCCTAAGTTACGACATGTTTGATAAACCCACTTACGACTAAGATATGTCCTAAGTTGGTCTTAGGACAGGTCCTAATCCTAAGACTGCTTCGATAAACAGGCCCCTGGTTATCCAATCTTAAAATTTTAATCGGTACAAGGAGTATACAATTTGTACTGAAACACACTATCCAGTATTTTAATCGGTGGATTTTTGAGTCTGATTACGATAACCGTACTCGTAATATCAATGACTGTAAGAACTTGGTTCGCTCCTTAGCGTCGATTTTGTGTTTTTGTCAATATAGTGCTAGTTTTCCCTTCGAATTATGATGATCACTTTTGAAAGTTCTGTATATTTTTTTCATATTTTAAAGACTAGAACCAAAGTTTCGATACTCTGAAGATGTCTTGATTATTGATTAATTTTTGTTTGCTTCAAGTCCAGTGGCAAATATTTCATAAACATTGAGATAAAAGATTTCAAAAGTATCTAATACTAGTAGATAGGCATACAGAAAACGTAAAATGGCACAGGAAAATGGTGTCATTATATAATTGTAATGCCTACTCAAATCCAATCCATTAGAAAACGAATTTTTACCACCATGAACTTGCACTGCACTATCATTAGAATAGTAGAATCGAATAATATATACAAATGGATGAAAATTATATAAACTAGTATTAATATAATATATAACAACAAACCAGAGTATACTGATAACAAATGATTGTATCACTTCAATGTAATAGTTATTTGGGTGAGGTTTAATTCCCTGTCATTTATTCATCATTCACACAGGTACTTGTCTCAGAAAAAAATAAATCTATGTACCTTAACCTAACTTTCAGGTATAGAGATGTGATTTTTTTTCTCAGACAAGTGCTTGAAACAATCCACCAGAACTTGCAGTCATCCGATGTTCAGTACTCCGATAAAGTGTGTGGTTCTTTTTTGAAATGTTATATTTTTGTCATAGGGTCAAAGTGAAAATTTTTTCAAAATTTTATGAGAATTAAACAAAACAAATTAACTTTAGTCGTGTTTGGTAATACTTTGAATCTGTATTTTTTTATCTGAAATAAATTTTCTGAGATAGTCTGTTTCAAATCAGTGTATTTATTATACACTGAAATCGTCAAATTTGTTTATTTCTACCATTTTCTTTACCTATAATTATTCTTATGTCAGTGAATTATTTCATTTTTAAGTAATTTTATATCCGTGATGTTTTCCTTTCATTGTTGAATATATCTTTTTTTTTGTTGGTATTTGGTTCAATTTCAAAATTTTCTCCAATCAGAGTAACGATCGCAGACATCATGCATACCGTTGCCATTGTTGAGAGTCCTTAATGTCAAATTGAACAAACGACTGTCTAAAACAATATACATAATATTTTAGCATTTTTTCAAAAAGGAATAGGGTCCAGAATGAATTCGTGTGTTTTCTAAAAGGTTTATTGAAATCTTTATTATTGTGGTATGAAGTCAAGGAATGTTCACGTATCTGATGCGGCAAAAAGTATTAAGATTTCAGAAATGGGTTATAGCACGGATTTGTATACTATACAAATCCTTGGTTATAGTTATCACCGTATAGATAACAATGTATTTTTATGCAATAAATTGAGCGCAGCCATTTGTGAATGGAACGGTTAAAAAAATAAGAATATATATTCTTCTCCTGGAAAGCGTTATTACTATTTGTCCTCAAAAGTAAACTATTAAGGACCGTTTTTTTTATAACTTTTGATCAAATTTAGGAAATTTTCTGAAAAACCTTCCCCATATTAACCAAGAGAAGTCATGGGACCCTATGTGCGGTAAATTCACAAATAAATATCGCGCTCCTCATTTGACAACAACAGTGTTCTGTATATTGTGTATACAATGCACACACATCCTTTAAATAATTTATTTCATTCGTAAGTATCAAGGAAATTCTTCCCATGTCGTGTACACGTATATTATGATAAATTTATGAAGGAAACCTTAAACCCGTGAGAATTGTCTTTACTCCCAATCCTATATTTTGATTATCATCTTTGTACCGTATTCAAAAGTTCAATGAAGAGCTATATATATAATCTGGGAACTGTTTATCTAACGTCAATATATATGTTCCTGGTATAATTTGGCATACTAGAAAACATGAGACGAACTTATTGATTCTAAATGGGGTGCTGAACTTAAATATGAATTATTTGCTTGCATATTGGTTGGGTTGTTAAATTAAGTATTTAAAACCGATGCAATTGTTTGAAATATTAGAGTGAGAATATTTTCAACTTGGATGATTTTACGTTTAACCGACAAAAGTTACGTGTTGACCACTTTGACAGGTCACTGCATACCAGTATATTTCTCAGGGGTGGTGTTCTCGAAAGTATCCTAAGATTCGTCCTAAGTCATATCTAAGACCAATTTTAGGATGGACTTAGGATCGTCTTAGGACACTCTTAAGTTGTGTCTCGAAGCTATCTCAGACGCATCTTATGTTAGGACGTCCTAAAAATATCCTAAGTACGAAATTTTGAATAGTTAAAGTAATTTTTTGATATAACATTTATTAAAGACGACCCAATTAATAAAATTGTTTACGAAATTTTATAATAACATGTATTATTAAATGCATGATTTCAAATGTAATTATAAAATAATACCAAGAAGGATTGTAATTTAAACTTGATACAATGTGTTTTGAAATGAGAATTTGAAAATCGTATTGTCATCGTATCGTGAAACACGAAGTTCAAAGTTTAAAATCATGCACAATTTCTTTATATTCTAGTTAATAATCGATGGTGCGCTTCATTTCATGTTCCACTTCACGTAAAAAAGATTGCAAAAAAGCATGCACAAAGTGTGGATGAAGATAGGATGATCTTAGGACTCCTAATTAGGAAAAATGCGATATATCCTAAGTTAAGAGAGTTTCGAGAACACGACTTAGGACAAAGACTTGTCATAAGTTGTTCTTAGGACACGTCCTAGACCTAAGATAGCTTCGAGAACACCACTCCTGAACTCAAAGACAATTAAGAGTAAAGTATGAACGCGAAAACTATTTGTTATTAAATTGAGATAAAAGTACTATTAAAAACTATGACAAAATAAGATTAAGTAACAACATGCTAGCTATTGAACGTGGAAGGTATAATATTGAATTATTTGTAGATCTTACTGAACAATATTGTCATTTACACTTAATTTGTCTCGTTTATATTAATATTAAAGATAATACATAACCCAATACTGTAAAAAACAAACTATTTCGGGGCAGTAACCCAACAATAAGTTGTCCTATTGGTCTGAAGATTACTTAACAGGTAGATCTAAACCGGTTTAACACGTTCACCTATGTAAGTTTTGCTCTTTCTGCTCTTGTTTTTTTAAGCCAAACATTTCATTTGACACATATGCTCTATTTTTAGACACTCCCGCCATTTTTTTTGAATGATTTAAATCCCAGAATACAATCTATATACAAGTTATTCTAAGGAAATTCAATTAAAGTGTTTTTATTTGGCCAAGTAGTTTCAGAAAAGAAGATTTTTGAAAAAGTAATTAGACTTTCACAAAAAAATGTAAAAAAAACGCGTTTTAAGGACAACAAATCCTCAAATGGTCAAGATTCCTTTATTAAAGATTTATTTGTCATTAATGTCAGCTGAAAAACATGACACTATTACTAAAGCCACCAGTAGTTTTAAATTCTTAAGTCAATTTACAATACAACTAAAAGTATTTGAAAATCATGTAAAGTGAAAGGCTACAAACAGTGACGATAATAATACTTTTGTTTAAATATTTGAACCTTTATATGGTTGATATATATGTACATTTAATGAATTTATCTCTTTCAGGAAAACATTTTACCATTCCCTTTACCTACCACTAGCATTGAAACTCCTCCTCCAGTAGAGAATACTGTAAGTGTTTTCAAAAGTATACAAATAGTTACAATCAAGTTGATGTTAATTTTTCAATGTTAAAGTGGTCAGATGAAGAAACTGTCATTTTTTTCCTGATGAGTCACAGGGTGATGGTCTCTAATTTTCTAGAAGAAGGTAGACCCTGTGTAATCATTGTATTAAACGTTGTATGATTGCCAATCAGACAAATACCCACTGTATACCAAAGTTAATGTAAACACAAAAATATATCGCTGTACATTCTATAACAATGAGTGAAACCAATCCCATAAGGTAATCTATAAAGGAACCTGACTTGACAAAATGTAAAACAATTTAAAGAAGAAAACAAACAACCTGTGTCAATTATGTCAGATCAGCCCTGCCCCAGTTGACAGACTGCTGATGTATGTAATGCTCTTGTACATCTACAAATTAAACCCATGGCTGTAATATGAAATTAAGGAGATGTGGTATGATTGCAAATGATCAACTATCAGTCTTAGACCAAATTTCATGGATGTTTATAAAAAATGTATTAAAGCTAATTTTATTTCATAATAAATAATTTATACATTCTTTTTTTTTAGATTGAGAACAAAAGCCGTGAATGACTGCTATGTAGTAGATTGGAATGGTAAAGTGTTTTTGTCCCTAAAGATGTCTGAAAAATCCTATATTTTTTGCAAGAGGCAAATTGGACAAATGACTGGAGACCAATTTATTTCCAATGAAAATAAAGACTCTTACGTTTTAAACAGAAAAGACATTCAAGGGGACCAAAAAGGTTTTATCATATGCTATATTAAATGCAATGTGAATGACAATAAAATTTGTTTGTTTAAACCAGCATCAACACTAAAGGATGAAATACTAAATTATATGAAGGATGAAGGACCAACTGAAAACGATAAACATGATGACGAGGTTGATGATACGTCCAAATGAAATAAACTGTTTTATTATATGACTAAATTTTCTGTTTTCTAATTTGCTAAAAACATTAGAAATCCTCTTCGATAAATCATCATATTGACCGCGACAAAAATCATGAGAGGTTAATATAAGATTCGGAACAGTGTCTGTATACCTAAATATAGATTTTCAAAGGAAAAGTCAATGACGTAGGTTTATAACGTCATGTACAATCCCGTTGTTCTTTTTCTTCTTATTTTCTGGGCATTTTCTGCTGTTCTTTTTATTTTAGGTGTATTTCTCTATCAACTTTACTGAATATTTCAACTTACAAAATGTATAAAAAAAACTAACAATCATGAGATAGGAAATTTGTTTTTATAAAATGTATCCATCAACGTTCTTGTGATAAAATCATTATTAATTACATACATGCATTTTTGATAAGTGCAGTGCACCAAATAAAAAGTAACAAATGTAAAATAACGTGTTTATATTTATTTTGGTATTGAAATAATGTCATATACCGTTACCTTTTATAGATGCTGTAATGTACCAAATCTATTACTTATTGTATAAGTATGCAGGTTGATTATTGCCTTTATGAACCACTTATGTATTTGTATCTCATATTTGATGTGCTAGCTAAATAACTGGCAGCATACATATGCAAACAAATTTAGTCGTTGTAAAGCTTTTGTCTAAACATCTCTATATTGATAACAAAAATTTGCCTTTAGTCTATTATAAAATGTGTTTTGAATAACAACATACTATAATATACATTATGTATAACTCATATAGAGGAGTATTGTACTCAGAAGTGAACACATTTTTTGTAATGTGTTTATTATATGTGTTTCACTCATTGGTCATAATTAACTTCTGACAAATAAACCGAAATGCAATCTTTTAGTGTGTGTTTGTTGTGTAATGTTAATAAATTTAACAGCTAAATATTCTGATTCGTGCAGCTCTTGTAACAGAAATCTGATGAGCTTTTTTCAAAATGTATAAGATATCATAGCAAAAGAAAACCCATTGAATTTGATATTCATTTTCGAGACTGTGTTCTAAACAAAATAGGGGCCTCGGTGGCCGAGTGGTCTAAGTAGTTACTAATGTAATCATAGCCAGTCAGCACTGAGGTTGTGAGTTTGAACCCCGCTCGTGCGGGTGCACTCGACTCCAATCTTAATTGACTAGGATTGTCAGTTTTCCTATCGAAGGTCTGTGGTTTTCTCCGGGCACTCCGGCTTCCTCCACCAATAAAAACTGGCCTCCACGAAATAGCCCAAAAGCGGTGCTTAAAAGTGGCGTTAAAACACCAAAATATCAAATATTTCTTAACAAAATACATATCTCATAAAGTACACGGTTGTAAACAAACTTCTGGTTAGTAAATAGTTGTCTCAAATAGAAAAATAAAATCATTACCTCAGATACGCATTATTCTTAACAAAACTCTGATATTGAGAATTCTTAGCTGGAAATCTGATAAGAAAATCGTTTCTTCAGGTATATACCAATTTTACCAGAATTCTGATGAGCAAATTGTTTCCTCAGATAAATAGTACTCTTAACAGAATTCAGATAAGAAAATTGTTCCCTGAGATGATAGTATATTCTTAACATAATTTTGATAAGAAAACCGTTTCCGCAGATATATAGTATATTCTTAACAGAATTCTGATAAGAAAATATTTTCATCAGATAGATAGTTTTCTTAACAGAATTCTGATAAGAAAATCGATTTCTCAGATAGATTAAATTGTTAACAAAATTCTGATAAGAAAATTGCTTCCTTAGATGATAGTATATTCTAAACAGAATTCTGATAAGAAAATCGCTTCCGCAGATACATTCTATATAGTATATTCTTAACAGAATTTTGATAAGCAAATCGTTTCCTCAGATAGAGAATTCTTAACAGAATTCTGATAAGAAAATGGCTTCCTTATATGATAGTATATTCTAAACAGAATTCTGATAAGAACTTCGCTTACGCAGATATATAGTGTATTCTAAACAGAATTCTGATAAGCAAGTCGTTTCCTCAGATAGATATTATTCTTAACAGAATTCTGATATGATGTGTCGCGTACCATGAATGATGACCTTGATCTTTGACCTTTAAGGTAAAATGTTTAATTTTATATGTCACCCTAAAACCAAACATATTCTTTCTTGCCATGTCAATATGAAAATAAAGAGATGTGGACTGATTGCTTATGAGACAACTATCCACGACAGTTATAATGAAGTGGTAGCAAGTAATTTATAGGCCACATAACGTGCACGACCTTTGCAGTGCAGCTAAGGGTTTGTCCCTAGGGATCATGCCCCTCCCCCTCATATAATAATGTCGTTATTTAGATTTATCTAAACAAAAGAACCCCATTCTTAACGCAGAAAAATTTGAAATACTGTGAATTGAGAACTTAATGTGTGTAATTAAATTATTGCGTATTCATGGTGACCGTCAAAAATGTGAGATTAATTAAAGCAGATTTAAATTATATTGAATATTGTACAAAAAAAGAAAATGCAACTAAGGTCATGTCACAGTCTGGGCCATATAGGGCTAACTACATGGTGTGGGGTTTCCCAGTTTGTTGCAGATCGTGTGGCGACCTCTGGGTGTGCATTTTTGGTTAGTTAACTTCTGAGATGAAATGTTGTATCCTTGACATATACCCCATATATGTTCTTGTTGTCACCCTCAGCATCACATTTGCGGCCGGGAATATATATAACTGCTGTTCGTTCGTCTGTCCGTCCGAGCATCGGCCCGGATTGTAATCTTTCTAGCACAATTAATCGCTATCTAATTTGGATAAAAATTATGCAGTAGCTTTCTACAGACAACAAGTCAAGTTTGAAAATGAGCCCTGTTCAAGCATATATAAGGCGGGTGACATTGAAAATCTATTGTGTTATTTATATTGCAATATTTTTTGAATTTACAGAAACATATTTTGAAAGTCTCGATCAGAATCGAGATACATTGTACATGTAAAAGTCAGCTTATTAGATTTCCCAAATAAACTAAGAAAACCATGAAGATTTGATAAATAAAGGCTGGGTTTCGAAAAGGCCCAAGAAAGTTGTAAAATTTCCCCAAAATTGAAAGAGAACTTATTATAATACCACATCTTCTTATTTTTATATTGTATGCTTTTTTGATCAAGGAGAAAAAAAACCTGAAAAAAAAACCTCGTTATGAAGGCATTTGCGATCGCCTTAAAATCAACTCCATATAAAATGCTTCCACTAAAAGAATGGTTATCATCAAATTAGGTCAGAAGCTTATTTGGAAACTTTACCTTAAAGAACACAAATGAAATGATGGACAACTCTAATAAAGTGGAAACAATTGATGAAGCAGATGTAGTACATGATTCAGACTTCAATGAAGTACTACTGTCAGATATTGAATATATTGAACTCAAGATTAGTTGAGGACTTTATAACGAGAAAATTTTGCTTCTTCTTCTGTCTAATATATGTGTTTATATAACAGAAATATTTGTGAATGTATTATGACATGCATCTGCTGCATCACAATTTGGTAGTAAAATGATTTTCGTGAGTGTTTGGTCCTTGGATCCAGCATGCACTGTACTTTCAAGTCTGGCAGTTGAATTCTAAGTTTGACTACATTTTGACAGTCTAAGAATCAAATCTAGTTATTTTTATAAGCACCAATTTTTTATTTAAGGGAACACATTACCCAACTATAAAAATACAGTCTCGGAAGTTATTTTCAAAGTACAATTTAAGAATAAAGGGCCAGTGTGAGCTTTCCCCATCAAGTGGCGTCAGTCGTCCGTTGTGCATGGTCGTCCGTTAACGTTTACAAAAATCTTCTCCTCTGAAACTATTGGGCTAGATTTAATCAAAATTGGCCACAATCACAATTGGGGTATAAAGTTTTAGAAATTGTGTGCGATGACCACCCCCTTTTTTTCCAACCAACATGGCCGACACGTCTAAAATTAGAACTTACAGGGTAAAATGCAAGTTTTGTCTATTATCTTGAATAAAATTGAGAATGGAAATGGGGAATATGTCAAAGAGACAACAACCCGACCAAAGAGCAGACAACAGCCGAAGGCCACCAATGGGTCTTCAATGCAGCGAGAAAATCCCGCACCCGGAGGTGGTCATCAGTTGGCTCCTAAATAAAATTGTGTGCTAGTTCAGTGAAAATGGACGTCACACTAAACTCCAAAACATATAAATGAACTAAAATTAACAAAATATACAAGACTAACAAAGGCCAGAGGCTCCTGACTTAGGACAGGCCCAAAAATGCGGCGGGGTTAAACATGTTTTGTAAGATCTCACCTCTAGTCAATGTAGAAAAAAGAAACACATATCAATACGCACAGTAAAACTCAGTTTAAAAGAGGTCCGAGTCCGATGTCAGAAAAGGGAACAAAAGAAACAAAGCAAAATGACAATGATACATAAATGAACAAAGGAAAAATTTGAAAACTGCTATAGATAAATTGAAAACTGCTATAGAAAATCTGACAGGGCAGGAATTTTCAAAATGTTGAGATCTCCCTACCATCTATTTACGTCAAAACTGTCAGACGAGCTCGTGTTGGAGTTTTTGCCCTTAAATGACATAATTTTAGCCTATTATTTACATTACACTTTTACACGGACAGCAACATCGCAG